CTTTTTCTGTTTCTGATTATTGCAGCTGCCTTTTCCCCTTATGCAGACCTCCTCGACTATTTCCTCCTCTCCTTATCGTTTCCAGAAACAAAATGGAATTAATTGTTGCAGGTCAGTTGTTGCAGGTCAGTCCAGCCACTGAGTTTGTCAAGCTCTTCAAGCGTGTCTCATACTCAATATTTTCCACACCTTTCCTCAGTGTTGGTAATCACCAGGTCTAGTGTTGGTGGTGGGCCGTGTTGCGCTTCTTGTTTATGTAATGTGTTGCTCCAAGATGTTTGTTGTGTCTACAAGCTGTAGTCTCCGGGGAGCTCTGGGCATTACAGGTCTACGTAGTTGTTCAGTGAACCTTAAATAAGACTGAACTTGGTGTTTAAAGGCCCCAAGTAAACCTCAGCTACAGTGTGGCTGTAGTAATAGGGCTACATCACCCGCCACCCCAGGACCCTGGTCCCCCAGTCTATCCTTACTACTCCATATCCTCGTTGGAAGATTGTATCTTGTCAGAATGTTCCCGTTGTTGCAATAATGTGTGTGGCTCTTTTCAGCAACCCTTTCTTGAAGCTCAACCCCATTATTTGTAATTCCATCTGCATTTGGCCACATAATTTTAACGCTCATCTTTCCCGGTTTCATTTGGTTTTGCCCAAAGGAGGCGGTAGTTTCTGTTCCATGTCCATTGTTGATAGGGGGGAAGGATGGTGGCCGGGACTGGTTGGATGGTTAGCGTGTATAACAGCGCGAGGCCCTGGGAAGGCTACTAATATATACACCAAACAACACCACATCAAGTATACATCCCCCAAAATACACCCCGCCATGCTTTTAGGGAATCTCCATTACACGGTATCACACTGAATAAATGATAAGGCGGCCCTCTGAATTAAGAAATCCTTGGGGCGAGTCCCAGCACCCAGAGCCAGTTATTATGGGCTTAGCGGCAACACCCAGCCAAGGGAAAGAGTAGGGGAGAGGGGGGGGGGAAGGGGTGAGAGGGGGGGGGGGGCGAAAGGGGTGTGGAGAGGGGGGGACAGAATAATGACACATAATAAAGTCATTGGTGAGCATAGACATTACTGACCTCTGGCCGGCGGTGCTCGGGGCGAGGGACCGGAGGACTATGTGTGGGTAGGATGGGGCTGGGGGAGGGGGGGTGATAGGCGAAAGGAGAAGAGGGAGGGCCCATGGATATGGGAGAGGGATATAGTGATGGGAAGGGGAGAGCAGAAGGTTAGTGAAGTGCAACAGGGAGAGAAAGAGAGAGAGAGAGAGAAGGAAGGATGCAGGGTACCCATCACAGAGGAGCTGGAAGAAGAGGATAAAAACATCCGTGTGTGTATTTAATATTTGTGTTTGCAGAATCGAGCTATTAGCTCTTGGGTCCCGCCTTTCTAACCAATTTATTTTTCCCTTATTATGGCTTCTACATATATTACTACTCTCTAACGCACACACATCCCCAGGGAGCAGCTCGTAGCAGATGTCTAACTACCAGGTACATATTTACTTCTAGGTAAACAGGAGCATCAGGATGAAAGAAACTGCCCATTTGTTTCCGCCTCCGCCGAGGATCAAACCCGGACCCTTAGGACTACGAATCCCGAGCGCTGTCCACTCAGCCACGAGGCCCTCTTGTGTGAGTGAGGGTGAATGTGTGTGTATTCACCTAGTTGTATTCACCTACTTGTGTTTGCGGGGGTTGAGCTCTGCTCCTTCGGCCCGCCTCTTAACTGTCAATCAACGATCTTACCCCCACCCCCCAACACACACACATACCCATACCCCCAAGGAAGCAGCCCGTAACAGCTGTTTAACTCCCAGGTACCTATTTACTGCTAGGTAACTGGGGCATCAGGATGAAAGACACTCTGCCCATTTGTTTCTGCCGGCGCCGGGAATCGAACCCCGCTACGTATCCAGCGTGCTGTCCACTCAGCCACCAGGCGCCCGCCCTGTGTGTACTCATCTAGTTGTATTCACCTAGTTGTGGTTGCGGGGGATGAGCTTTGGCTCTTTGGTCCCGCCTCTCAGCTGTCAATTAACAGATTCCAGGGCCTACTGACCTGTACTCACCTAGTTGTGCTTGCGGGGGTTGAGCTCTGGCTCTTTGGTCCCGCCTCTCAACCGTCAATCAACAGGTGTACAGGTTCCTGAGCCTATTGGGCTCTATCATATCTACACTTGAAACTGTGTATGGAGTCAGCCTCCACCACATCACTTCCTAATGCATTCCATTTGTCAACCACTCTGACACTAAAAAAGTTCTTTCTAATATCTCTGTGGCTCATTTGGGCACTCAGTTTCCACCTGTGTCCCCTTGTGCGTGTGCCCCTTGTGTTAAATAGCCTGTCTTTATCTACCCTATCAATTCCCTTGAGAATCTTGAATGTAGTGATCATGTCCCCCCTAACTCTTCTGTCTTCCAGCGAAGTGAGGTTCAATTCCCGCAGTCTCTCCTCGTAGCTCATACCTCTCAGCTCGGGTACTAGTCTGGTGGCAAATCTTTGAACCTTTTCCAGTTTAGTCTTATCCTTGACTAGATATGGACACCATGCTGGGGCTGCATACTCCAGAATTGGCCTGACATATGTGGTATACAAAGTTCTGAATGATTCTTTACACAAATTTCTGAATGCCGTTCGTATGTTGGCCAGCCTGGCATATGCCGCTGATGTTATCCTCTTGATATGTGCTGCAGGAGACAGGTCTGGCGTGATATCAACTCCCAAGTCTTTTTCTTTCTCTGACTCCTGAAGGATTTCCTCTCCCAGATGATACCTTGTATTTGGCCTCCTGCTCCCTACACCTATCTTCATTACATTACATTTGGTTGGGTTGAACTCTAACAACCACTTGTTCGACCATTCCTTCAGTTTGTCTAGGTCTTCTTGAAGCCTCAAACAGTCCTCTTCTGTCTTAATCCTTCTCATAATTTTGGCATCATCCGCAAACATTGAGAGAAATGAATCTATACCCTCCGGGAGATCATTTACATATATCAGAAACAAGATAGGACCGAGTACAGAGCCCTGTGGGACTCCACTGGTGACTTCACGCCAATCAGAGGTCTCACCCCTCACCGTAACTCTCTGCTTCCTATTGCTTAGGTACTCCCTTATCCACTGGAGCACCTTACCAGCTACACCTGCCTGTCTCTCCAGCTTATGTACCAGCCTCTTATGCGGTACTGTGTCAAAGGCTTTCCGACAATCCAAGAAAATGCAGTCCGCCCAGCCCTCTCTTTCTTGCTTAATCTGTGTCACCTGGTCATAGAATTCTATTAAGCCAGTCAGGCAAGATTTACCCTCCCTGAACCCATGTTGTCGATTTGTCACGAAGTCCCTTCTCTCCAGATGTGCTACCAGGTTTTTTCTCACGATCTTCTCCATCACCTTGCATGGTATACAAGTCAAGGATACTGGCCTGTAGTTCAGTGCCTCTTGCCTGTCGCCCTTTTTGTATATTGGGACCACATTCGCCGTCTTCCATATTTCTGGTAGGTCTCCCGTCTCCAGTGACCTACTATACACTATGTAGAGTGGCAAGCAAAGTGCCTCTGCACACTCTTTCAGTACCCATGGCGAGATCCCGTCTGGACCAACAGCCTTTCTAACATCCAGATCCAGCAGGTGTCTCTTGACCTCCTCTCTCGTAATTTCAAACTCTTCCAAGGCCGCCTGGTTTACGTCCCTTTCTCCTAGCACAGTGACCTCACCTTGTTCTGTCGTGAAGACCTCTTGGAACCTCTTGTTGAGTTCATCACACACCTCTTTGTCATTCTCTGTATACCTGTCCTCGCCTCTTCTAAGTTTCACTACCTGTTCTTTCACTGTTGTTTTCCTTCTGATGTGACTGTGGAGTAGCTTTGGTTCGGTCTTGGCTTTGTTTGCTATATCATTTTCATAACTTTTCTCTGCTTCTCTTCTCACCCTGACATACTCATTCCTGGTTCTCTGGTATCTCTCTCTGCTTTCTGGTGTTCTGTTATTCCGGAAGTTCCTCCACGCCCTTTTGTTCAGTTTCTTTGCTTCCATACATGCCCTATTATACCATGGATTCTTCTTTTGCTTCTCGGATTTTTCCTTTTGGGCCGGGGTGTGTGTGTGTGTGTGTGTGTGTGTACTCACCTAGTTGTACTCACCTAGTTGTGTTTGCGGGGGTTGAGCTCTGGCTCTTTGGTCCCGCCTCTCAACCGTGTGTGTGTGTGTGTGTGTGTGTGTGTGTTTGTGTGTTTGTGTGTTTGTGTGTGTGTGTGAATTCTGAGGTGGTCAGATCTGCAATGATAATGTACACACCCAACGGCCGCTCCTGCCACACCCCTAACCATGCTACCCTCCATCCCCCCCCCTCCTCCTAATGCCCCCCCCCCCTCCTCCTAATGCCCCCCCCCCCCTGCCACACCCAGTAAGATGGGTGCCAATAAGATGGTTGTTAGTGACATAATGGTCAAGACAAGTAACTACAACAACCACCAATTCTCCCGAGTGTTCAGGTTAACCCAGTGTTACTGTGGCTGGTTGGTCCAATTAACCGTATGGCTTATACTGACCTCGTTTAACCTGGACGGTAAAACGTACCGCAGCATTATCACATTCATGCTATTTTATTTGTTACTTTAACAGTTAGGCGATACCAGCTTTTGACGGAAACAGAGAAAAAGACAGAAAACAGAGATAGACCCGAGCACTGCCGGATATCCCGTATAGAATAGTATATATTACATTATATATAATGTTGTGATGTCCATTTTAACTTAGACATGACAGCAAGGAAAAAAAGAGACTAGAAAGACAGGTTAAGCAACAGAAAGGGACAGACAGAGATGCACAGGAGGTGGTGGAGGACTCAGAGAAGGAAGGTACAAGAGGCACTTGATGAAAGGGGAAGAGCAACAAAAGTATGAAGAGAGGCCTAACAACAAATAATGTTGAGGGACTCGAGTAAAAACAGAAGTCGAGTGTCTTCCGAGGAAGAAAGAAAGACATCTTGGAGACACTTACAAGTAGCGCAGCTGGGCGAGGCCCTTCAACATCTTCTTGGCGATGATCTTCAGCTGGTTACGATTGAGCTCCCTGCAAGACGAGAAGGTTGTTAGTCAATGGTGGGGATGTTTCACATGTGGCACCCTCACACACCTGTGTCACCCTCACACACCTGTCACGCGCGGCACCCTCACACACACCTGTGTCACGCGTGGCACCCTCACACACCTGTGTCACGCGTGGCACCCTCACACACCTGTGTCACGCGTGGCACCCTCACACACACCTGTGTCACGCGTGGCACCCTCACACACACCTGTGTCACGCATGACACCCTCACACACCTGTGTCACGCGTGACACCCTCACACACCTGTGTCACGAGTGACACCCTCACACACCTGTGTCACGCGCGGCACCCTCACACACCTGTGTCACGCGTGGCACCCTCACACACACCTGTGTCACGCGTGGCACCCTCACACACACCTGTGTCACGCGTGGCACCCTCACACACACCTGTGTCACGCGTGGCACCATCACACACCTGTGTCACGCGTGGCACCCTCACACACCTGTGTCACGCGTGACACCCTCACACCCTGTCACGCGCGGCACCCTTAAAGACACCTGTGTCACGCGTGACACCCTCACACACCTGTGTCACGCGTGGCACCCTCACACACACCTGTCACGCGCGGCACCCTCACACACCTGTGTCACGCGTGGTACCCTCACACACATGTGTCATATGTGGCACCCTATGACATAACTGATCATCCTTATGAGGATAAAATATTATGCCAACCTTCACTCACAAATAAAGGTCGAACACCTTTCCCACTATAGAAAGGTGGGAAAGGTGGTTCGTTCTCACTATTCTAATGTATCACCGCACAGCCAGTAACTCAGTTATAGTCATTACCGTTGTAATTATCATTATCATCAGTACAAACAATTTTGTACGTTGGTGAACGTCGTGGAGTAACACCTGGCGATGGTTGGCACTGATGTGGGAACAACGTGTGAACAGGGAATAGTTAACTGTGGAGCGTACATCCCGTAGACTTTACATTTTCATGTACATAAAATAATTTTTTTTTTTTATACTCAAAATGCATCTGGAGTCTGCCAGTGCAGACTGCCTATCACATGCCTCTGTATGACTAACCATCCTGTGTGATGGGGATTTTTTAGCATCACCTTGTTAACTTTTTGGACACACTGTACTCCGCTTCATATAGTCTAGGGTAGCTGCACAAATGCAGATGTACCTCATGTATTAATAAAAAAAAATGTTTCCTCATTCAGAAACGTAAGATGTGACGAGCCCCGTGTCTACACCGATGGTTCAGTCCAGTCGTCAACAGGATGGACTGCAGAAGCCTGAAGGTTGGACGTAAACAGTACTTGCACACCGACTACTAGTTCCAGGGTGAACTGTACACATATATAAGTAGCTGCACTCTTAACTAGTTACCAGGGGCCAGATTCACGAACCAGTTCCGTAAGCACTTACGAACCTGTACATCTTTTCTCAATCTTTGGCGGCTTTGTTTACAATTATTAAACAGTTAATGAGCTGCGAAGCACCAGGGGGCTGTTTGTAACAATAGCAACCGTTGATTGGGAAGTTTTCATGCTTGTAAACTGTTTAATAAATGTAACCAAAGCCGTCAAAGATCGAGGAAAGATGTACACGTTCGTAACTCCTTTGTGAATCCGGATCCAGTACACTAAAAAGCACAGCAGGAGGAGGAGGAGGAATATAATTTTATGTCAGTCAAAGTCTGCTCTTCAACTACTAGAAGAGTCCTGCAAGATCGACATCAAGAACCTCAAAACATCACTTTATATAACTAATGGTAATGTCTCAGTACAGACATAATAACATAGGATCAACAAAACTGTGAACTATACAAGATAACCGCAAGGAGGCCCACACGCCTCCTGTCTTACCACATACTACACTTTCTACGTTTGTAGAAAGTGTAGATGCTTTCATGCAGTTGTTGAAAGCATCTACACTTACACCTCAAGTCCAGCAGTCTGATGATTCAACGGTACGATTGTGAGCTAACGTTATGAGACCGTCGTCAGACACAGGAAATATAGAGGGACATGATCACGACATTATATTCTAAGAGGGACAAGCATGGGTGTCTAAAATGAGTCGCAAGGCTGTAAGGAAGCCCTTAACTTTGAGTAGTAAAACAGAATGAGTTAGATCAGGAGGAAGTTAATTCAACTCTAAAGAAAGCATGAAATACTTGAGCCACAGCATACTAGGTGACTGTTCTTACTCCTTTACGAGAACACACACACACACACACACACACACACACACACACACACACACACACACACACACACACACACACACACACACACACACACGCGCGCGCGTCTGTGTTCGAATCGATTCCGGGCGCCGGCAGAAACATATGGGCAAAGTTTCTTTCACACTGATTTACCTGTTCACCTAGCAGTAAATAGGTACCTGGGGAGTTAGACAGCTGCTACGGGCTGCTTCCTGGGGATGTGTGCGTGCGTGTGTTAAGATAGAGATATATGTAGTAGCTATAATAGAGGAAAAATGGATTGGTTAGAAAGGCGGAGTTCAAGAGCTAATAGCTAATAGTAAGTACACGTACACGTACACACACACGTACACACAAGCACGTACGGACGCTCAAACCAGCTGCTACAGAACACAGATGGACTCTTAACTTCACAGAAAACGGGCTGCCAAAGAGCCCTCTATGCGGATTAAAAGTCTATACCGGGAAGGATAAAATGCTAACCGACAAGCGACCATAAATTCCGATATTCCAACACAAAAGGGTGCGAGTGAAGGCCTTAGGACGAGTACACGTAAGGTGGTGTTTCGCAGCCAGAGAGTAATCCCGTCATTGAATAATCCCCAAGTACGATGATTTCTCACGCTGGGGGAGGATTTATGAGACGTGAAGGATTGCGCTGAGAAATCTCGCTGACAGTAATTTATGACAGTCATGATGAGTTAAACTCTCTAAGTTGGAAGGGACAGTTGGAGTGTGTTAATGGTGGGGAAAAAAATTAAGCTCTTCAAACTGACGAAAGTTATAACAGTGGGAGAATGGGAATATTTTATTTATTATCTTTCATGACATGAGATAAGAGAGAGAGAGAGAGAGAGAGAGAGAGAGAGAGAGAGAGAGAGAGAGAGAGAGAGAGAGAGAGAGAGAGAGAGAGAGAACTATGAGGAGAAAGCTCCAAGCTATTACGACTATATAGCACTTGGAAGGGGTCAGGATAAGGATTTGGGATGGGACGGGGGGAAAGGAATGGTGCCCTACCACTTTTGATGGTCGGGGATTGAACGCCGACCTACGTGAAGCGAGACCGTCACTCTACCGTCCAGCTCAAGTCACATTCCAGGATTGTGACCTGGAAAAAAAGCTGAGCCCAAGAGCTGAATCTCTGTTGTCTTTCTACGCGAGACAACCGAGATTCAGCTCCTGGGATCGGCTTTTTTTTTGCTTAGCTATGAGTCATGAGGTACAATGTTATGCACCCGTCCTATGACGCTCTGTATAGATCGCACGTGCCTCATGGTCCCATCTCTCTCTGTGTAAACAATCCCACCTGTGAGAATCTTACCTATGACAAACAATTCCGACGTACACGACGGTACACGACGCTACAGTGCCGTGGCAGCGCCCCTGTGGCCGTGACAGTGGTGGTGGTGGTAGTGGTAGTGGTGGTTATCTTGAGGTTATCTTGAGATGATTTCGGGGCTTTTTTAGTGTCCCCGCGGCCCGGTCCTAGACCAGGCCTCCACCCCAGGAAGCAGCCCGTGACAGCTGACTAACTCCCAGGTACCTATTTACTGCTAGGTAACAGGGGCATTCAGGGTGAAAAGAAACTTTGCCCATTTGTTTCTGCCTCGTGCGGGAATCGAACCCGCGCCACAGAATTACGAGTCCTGCGCGCTATCCACCAGGCTACGAGGCCCCCGTGGTGGTAGTGGTAGTGGTAGTGGTACTGGTGGTGGTCCCCGGGCCGGCCGCCCACTAACAACCTCACACAGTCAACAATCCTTGTTTCCCCTAATTGGCTGCAGCCTCAGGCCGCCCGCCCTCACCAAGACTGGTGGAAGGTTTTCACACCATTTATCACCACATTCCTTATAGACCCATTGTCATGTTTCATATTGTCTCTTACGTGACTTTCAACATTTACCGAATGAAACATTAATAAAATTCATATTCAGTAAAGTAGGTAAGATTTATGACCTGGTTTCCATGTTTGTTTGTTAGGCTATTGAAGTCTCTCCCTAACTCTCACATGTACTGTCTAAGATGAAGGTATATTGGTAACGATCTGACCAATTAGGCTGTTACTTACTGCAACTCTTTATGTCTCTATAGTTAATGCCAGCCGATTACTCGTGTATTATATAACGAGGCGACTTGTTCACTTGAACAAGTTCATGTTCCATGTTCATGTTCACACGCGTGACTCTCTAAGACTTCCGACCGCAGATTATCTGAGAATGTGTCGACCATTTCCCGCCTGTCAGTGGCACTACTCTGCTAACCTGTACCTTCTGTTTACCTGTGGAAGGGTTCACGAGTTTTATTTTCTTGAAGCCCGGACCTTATCAGAGGCTAAAACTCAGGCTCTCGAGAATTATCCCCCTGAAAGTTATGAGGAGGAAGTGTATCAGTTCCTGATAGCGTAGTGGAAAAACACTCGCTCCGGGATTTGGTCTGGGTTCGAGACCTGGTCATGGAGGATTGACTTGGAAGCAATTCATAACTGTTCGCCCCTGTTTACCCAACAGTAACTGCGGATCTGGGAGTAAATGGATTTGCTGGGTCGTGTACCCCTGCACTCACCTATGTGTAAAATTAGCAAGGTAAGATTTACCATGAACTATGGGAAAGGGAAAGCTTTCAGCCCGTTAACAGGCGTCAGACGTCGTCTTTTCTCATGTGCAAAGAACTACAAAAGAAATACAAAAAGAAAATCAAAAGAAAAAAAAGGTTTATGCAAGACTGGCTTTGAGATCGCGCCTTTAGAGCTTCAGATTAGACTCACGCCATC